GGCCAACATATATTCATACAACAAAAAAGTCTATTAACTGGCAGTTGACTTCTCACTTCAAACTACCATGACCCCACTGTCTGTCATATTCGACCCCTTTCACTGTACTCACCTCACATTTTTTCTACCTTCGACTTTGAAACACTCCTCTGCCCCCCCCCTCTCGAATTTTTTTCAATTTGATGTTTCTGCTCCTCTCTGTGAGGCCTGAAATCAATTAAAGGGCTAATGATAACCATCAAGACGCCTGCCATTTGATATAAATAAATAAATAAATAGTTGCTAATGACGCTTGTTATCAAAAAAAAGAGAACGATTTCTTTCTATGTCAAAAACATTTACCCTGTTATTGAATTGCAAAAAAGGAAGTGAGTTTACTTTGACCAACTCCAGGCAGGCCTTAGATATTTCCTGCAAAATTAATAAGTGTCATAAATTATTGGGGAATTACTAGGCCTCATAAAACGTGATTGCAGCGCATTTGCATTAATAAAATATCTCCACTTTGACTGAAATACTAGCACTTAACTTACTTTTTTATGGTAAATTGTCGAAATGACATTAAGAAGCAAATATTAATTTATGCAATTCTGATGTCTCTTCGAATATTTTCCAGCCCACTTAATGCCAAAATTCCCAACTTTTATAGTATAATATTTAGAAATTAAATAGAAATGGATTTTTTTAATTCACATTTCGAAAAAAATATAATTTTAATTTTAATCAAGACATGACTTTACAAAATTTTTATTAACGACTAATCACAATTCTTATGGGATAAAGTAGAAATCGAAATTCCTAAGGGAATTGGGAAATAAAGAGTCCACTCTTTCTCTCGTCGAGTAATTTGCACAATTTTTGTTAATAAATACGATCTCCACGCAAAATAACGAGAATATAAATTATGAATAGGCTATTTTATCTTTTTCATCTTTAAAATTTTCATTTTACTTTGAAGAAAATTGACATTATTTGAATTATATAATAATATTCTAAAAATTGATCCAGTGTTTGTAACAGATTCGTCTTGAGGCTTACACTGTGGATCTGAAAATATCTTTACTTGTGTCTACTTTTTCGGTGTTTTGAAATTGCCTCGATAGTAAATTAAATGTGTTTAAAGAGATTTTCTCATCTGTAATTCATTCCCTCTCTTTGCTAATTAAAATTAATTAGAAACTTAATTTATCGTGTTATCATTACTAACCTCTGTAGCGGATTGCTACCTTAGTAAAGCCTGACTGACTCAGAAATCTCTATGGCAGATTCTCCAACATCTAGCTAAACTCCCAGAACCAGCTAAGCTATAGCCCACCTATAAAGGAAACAGACGTGTAGCACGGAGCACGTTTATTCAGTACGAGTATTGCGGATAAAGTGTACACGCAGGAAGCTTAATCATGATCAGGATGGCGGATTAGGTTAAACAAACAGAGGTTAATGATTGGTCACCGTTTGTACGGTCACACCTCCCAATCCTGGCATGCAGGCATGCGATGACGTGTCCCACACCTCTGACAAGCAAAATTTCACCACTTTGTTGTGTGGAAACAAGTACAAAGGAATAACTGAGGGGGGGGGGGGGTCATGAGATTGCGTCATTGAAATCTGGGGAAATGAAAGAATTTCAGATTTCGATTTGGTATTCATTCACTGGTTAATTCAACCTCCAAAATAAATAATAAATAAATAAATAAAATAAAGTGACCAGTGCTCATTGACGGGTTTTTAAACATACTTTTCAGTTTCGTCACCTGTAAAATTTAATTTATTAGCTCATTTCTAAAATTTTTGCATCAATAAATTGGCTCGGCTATTTGAATCTTTACCATTAAATGCTACTTATGTTGATTCGACTTGGCGGGTGTATAATGAAAACGAGATTTCTTTCTACCCCAGATTCCTGTGGGGTGTCAGAAATCTGGATCCTTACTTAGTGGGAGCTCAGTTTAGAGGTCAAATGTGCATTAATTCTAATAAATTTCAACTTTCGAAAGTAAAGGCGTGCACTTGCTTGTATTCAAGTGATTTCGCATTTAATAAAACAAGATGATATCATTTTGAGAAAATAAGGATTCATATGCCGGTTAGAGAAAGCTAAAACGATTCACTATATTATTTTTCCTTGAAACCCAAACTATTAGCACCTCTATGCATAGTAAATGAAATGTTAACCCCATTAACAATTTATATTATAAAATTCACTTGCTTAACCTTATTATTAATTAGAAAGCCAAAAATTTTTGCAAAAAATAAATTTCCTTTACTGTTTCTTTTCTTGCATTGATGATAGTTGGTTTATTAAGTATTGCAATGATTTATCTGCTATCACTTCTGACATTTGACGGAAGCGCCAACTAGTGAAAAGCAGGAAATTTTCTATTTGAATAATTTCGGTTAAATTTTAAACGTCAAAATCCGGGTTACTGCAAATCCTGTTTTCAAGCACCATTTTGGTCTAATAATTTTCCCAATCGTAATTGACTACCATGGAAATTCTTAAGGGGCTTACCTAGGAAAATGAAATGGCGTTGAATATTCTCATTTGTCCAAAGTTAGAATTTATATGTCATTAAAATTTTACTCTAACCACAGGATGATACACGCCTATGTTCAGTCCAATGAATTGAAATTGAAATAAAATATGTAACAATTTTAACAATGCCAGTACTATGAGTGACCGACAACAGGATTTAATTCTAGCCAATAGGAAGAAGTTAGCTTTTAATTTGCTCCAGGAAAACCTTTTCTCATCCCGTTAGCTCTAAATGGCTACTTATATTGGCTACTTATATGCAGGTATGCGCATACAAAGGAGCTTGAGTTACAAACACTTTTGGTTGATGAAAATATCGACTCTAAGTTTAGCTCAAAACTCGTGCAATTACTCTAACCCCCCCCCCCCCCCCCCCCCCCCACCTCGGCAGTCCGCTTTTGACTTGTAATCAATAATAGTTAAAGATTTAAATGTAGCCTGACTTAAGTGATCGCAGGCGAGTTGTTAGGTAATTTGTCTTAAATTTGAACCTCGATTTGCCATTAACAGAGATAATTTAAGAATGAATTCGACTGTTTAAATTACTTCTTACTGAAATTTCGAGTTAACTAATTCATTGATTAATGAAAAATGAGATCCCTAGTTCGATCGAAACTCAAAGAATGCTAACATGGTCATTTATTTATATCAAATGGCAGACGTTTTAATAGTTATCATTAGCCCTTTAGTTGACTTCGGGATTCGCAGAGGGGAAGGAACATCAGAGTAAAAGAGTCGAGAGGGGGGGGGGGGGGAATAGAAGAGTGTTTCAAAGATGTAAAAGAGACAGACACAATGGTAGAAATAAGGTGAGGTAAGTACTGTGGAAGTAGCCGAATACGACATACAGTGGGGTGATGGTAGTTTGTAGTCAGAAGTCAACTCCCGGTTAATATACCTTTTTGCCATATGAGTATACGTTGACCAGGGTGCACCACGTGCAGGTAAGTCTATCGCACAACCCGATCACCTGGTCATAAATATTATAAATTAAACCCGTTTTAGGGGTGCACATGCTTTTCGATAAATTGATCAAGTTAGACAAATTTTAATGCACAGAATTGAGATATCGGACTTTCTTATTGGCATCTCATATTATTACCTTTGAAGAATAGTATCCCAGTGCCCATGTAGATATATTTATTTGTTTCAAATAGCAGGCGTTTTGATAGTTATCATTGGCCCTTAAGCTGACTGTGGGCTACACAGAGTGGAGAAACAACAAAGTTGGAAAAATTCGCAAGGAGGGACAGAAGAGTGATTCATAGATGTAAAAGAGACAGACTGACTGACAAAAACAAAGGCAGAGAAAAGGTAAGATGAGTACTGTGAAGTGGTGTAAAATGACATAGTGTCGGGTCATAGTAGTTAAAAGCCAGAAATTAACTGGCTGTTTATAGACATTTTTGCCGTATGAATATACGTTTCCCAGTGTGCACCACGTGGAGGTAAGTCTATCACACACCCCAATGCCTATGTTGATTATCACACACAGGCGAATCATTTTCATCATCCACGGCCTTACCGACTAATTTGAAAACTTCGCTCCTGGGAAGGTATCCGAACATAAATCGAAGTCAAATCAAATCAAATGCCGAGTGATAGACTTTTTTGCCATACGAAGATACGTTGCCAGGGTGCACCACGTGGAGGTAAGTCTATCGCGCACCCCCTCCTGGGAAAGTATCGAACAGTGAAACAGCATGAAGTCAGTGAAAGACGTTTTTTCTTCAGGTGCATTCGGTAGACTGTGGGTTTTCATTAGGGCTTTTAATACTCCTAATAATGTCCTAATTTCCTACTTTCAATAGCTGAAACTAAAGTTTATCTATGCACCTATAATCACAATATTTGGGAATCGATGCTGGTTTGGTTTGCAGAAAGGAGCGAGTTGGCTTGATTGATTGAGAGATGTGTTGCAGACAGATTTTTACTCATGATAGAGAAAAGATATTCATAAGTATGAAATCGATTAAAACATTTAAACTTTGAAAGCATAGAAGTGGTAAAATGGAATAGCGTGAAAAAGGAAACTTGTAATCAAATCGATGAGTTGTAAATCTCATATGCTAATGGCACAGTAAATGGCAGCATCGATCGATATAGTTTCTTTCATGAAGTACAAAAGTCTATTCTCCATCGACAAATTCTTGTCCGTAATGTTGTCAAAGTGAGATAGAGTAGAGAGGGGGGGACAGAATAATGACTCACAGTTGCAATAGAGACTGACAGACACAAAGGCCGAGAAAAGGTAAGATGAGTACTGTGAAGTTAGTCGAATATGACATACAGTGGGGGTGATGGCAGTTTGAAGTCAGAAGTCAACTGCCGGTTAATAGACTTTTTGCTATATGAGCATACGTTGCCCAGGGTGCACCACGTGGAGGTAAGTCTATCGCACACCCCTATTCGGTAAATATAACGTGAGTAAAGTGAGCACTCATGGAGCTTAATCTTAGTCAGCATGGCGGGTTGGGTTAAGCAAACGGAGGCCACTGGTTGGTTGTGCGGTTGTCTGTACAGGGAGTTGTACGGCCGCACCTCCCAATCCTGGGGTGTGTGAGTGCGATGACGCGTTGAATGATGACGTGCCCCACAAAACTCGCAAATGCTTTCACCAAAGGAGTTGATGAAAGTTGATGAAAGGNATATATATATATATATATATATATATATATATATATATATATATATATTTACTAGCTTCATAATCCAATTACAGGATGACACTTCGAATCATTGCCTCTTCATAACCAGGTACATTAGTCATTGCTTCAACCCAAGGTTTCACTTAATCATTAGAATAAGAATTTTGCTAAAAAATGTATTAACTTATTCGTTTTGATGAGTCGCGCGAGCCTTCATATTTTTTAAAGCAAATTTCGTGGGTATTCAGCATGGAGTAGTATTTGTACAAGCTTTAAGTAGAATAGGAAATATGAGCTCAGTGGAAATTCGTGATGACGTAGCCTAATGGAATTAAAATTTGTTCTTATTTTTCCAGACGATTCAACTCCTTAATTTATGTGAAAATATCTTTATGCGAGCACCATCCCTTCCCCTACGCCTCCACCCCCAAGCCCCACCCCACCCCTCCATTCCCCCTATTTTATTTTCATTTGCCTCAAGCACATCATCATCGAAGTGGGTCATGAGCTTGGCTCTCGCTACCCCAAGTAAAGAACCGATTCCGCAAAGCTTCTTTTTACAAATTTAAAATCATTTTAAACACTGCTTCTTAAATCTGTGCAAAAAATATATATATTTAAAATTCAATTCTCAAATAAAATATAGCTTTCTATATGGAAATATTTTATTTGTATATTAGTATAACAACTTTTAAGCTGTCAAGCGTGTATAAAGACGTAAATTCTTTTGCATTGACTTATTTTAACCAGCACTCCAAATTCTAACTAAAGTGGCTAATACCAGTTCGAGCAGATTTTAAAAATCCAATAAGTTCATACCAAAAAATGTCCAAGTAAATTCATATATTAAAATTTCAAAATGCCTCTGGAAGTCTGGCTTTTAATAGGAAGCAGTTCTGAACTAAATGGATTTGAATTAAAACAAATATTACTTGCTTTATTAAATATTAATGGATCCAAATAGATAATTATGAGCTATTTGTGCAATTAAAATGCTTTTCCGATTTTATTGGTCCCACATTGGGTATCAACAATGAAAGACGTTTTGGGATTCTCTAGGAAACCTTTTTATTTTCGCTATTAACCGTTTGGTTGTTATGGAAATGGCGGTTTTTAGTATTTGCTTAACAGAGCGATTAATTAAACCTAATTTGAAATGGGATCATTAATAATATGTTGCCATGTTTACCCGACAGTCTTTTGTGAAGTAGTGCTTATGATAGTCTCTAAGCCTTCTCTAAATTACCGCAAATAGCGAATACAATGAGTGGAATGATAAGCGACTAATCAACACCGTTTCAGTTAATTCAATTTATAACGTTATTATATTGTCAAAGGCGTAGATAAGGCATTTATAAAAAGATATGGAAAATTGAAGCCTTTTCACCTAACGTTATTCAGATCAAAGAACTGCAAAGTGTTTGTTTTCTCCTAAGTTGTTTTGAAGAAAATTGTTTTTAGTCCTTGCTGTCATTTAATATTTTCAATGTAATGGGTAATTCAATCCAACAGAAAGTAAATAAATGTACTTGCACTTAAAAATTTAAGTAATTAATGAAAATTTCTGAGTTTTGAGTTCGCAATACCTTGGATTTTGCTTTATTTAAACTTAGTGACACTGAGTTGTCATAGCTTCGTGATTTCCACTTTGGTTCCACTAGTTCTTGGGTGAAATTATGCTCACTAGAATTTGAGCCTATCAATCGATTGAGTTACTTCAGCGATTGCTCGTATAACTTTAGCATTTGTTAATTTTTTAATATATTATTTAATAGACTTGTTGCGATCAAAGTCTGAGTACAGCCAAGGTATCATTTTGCACTAAAAATTGAATAGAAACAGTTACTTAAGTCCAAGAAAATAAGATTATCAATATATGTATTGTACTTAAGCAATAATTGACATCTGAAATCTCTTTATTTCGTCTTATTGCTTATTTTTGGGGGGCTGATATAGTTTAGAACTTACCATTATTGTCATTACAAAAGGTAAGACAAAATGCTATAACTATAAATCTTGGAAAGGCTCCCAAATCATAAAGGTGAAGAAGTAAAACGATGTGATTAGGAAGGTTAAGGCTTCAAGAGGATCTTGTTTCATTCGCAGTTTGTTTCCACCACATTGCATAAGACGTATTCTCTGCAATTTGCACCAACTTAGCCAAGTTGAAATTTCATGGTCTAATAGTAGTGCTTCTGAATTAGCTCATGTCTTTACTTGATATTAGGTCAAGTAAGTTTTGGAAATTGTTCTCCTAAAACAGCTAGATCGCCTGTTGATAGCTGCCATAATAAAACATTTTAAAATGTATAGGCGTTTAATATAATTTGTCAATATTTCCACCAACATTTGACAGAAGATCGTTATGACATCCCAAATGTTCTTATCCAAATATCATCGACATTCATGTTTACGTCTAAATTGCACTATTCAAACTTTGGTCATAATAAAAACGAAGAGCTGTTCGATTAAAAATAGGATAATTTATAACTGAATCTTATTTCATCCACTTCAGAAAAGAGGAAAGTATGAACTGTCTAAGGGAATACTAAAAACTGCTGATGAAATGGTGGATGTATATCTTGGCCAAGTGAGGTCATATCCTCAAGTAAAAAGGATCGTAAATCCTTTTAGAACTGAGGAATCACAGCTTTGGCTGAAACTTAATGAAAACCTGAAATCCCTAGAGGAAACTCAACAAGTTGAAATAGGATCTTCAACTTATTCTTTTAAGACAAATTCAGGATATCGGTTGTCGTCGGCACCGGCAATTTCAGCAATGGTTAGTTTCCTTTCTTCCCCACCTGAAAACATTGAAAACGACGACAGACTTCAGCCGTTTTTGGCATCCAGCATCATTTCATTCAGCGGCGCCATTGCGAAAAAGACCGAATGCATTGTATTGAAGGATATTGTAGAAGCGATAATTTGGATAAAAGGTGAGTTAAACTGTATTTCAAGTATTTGTGCCCAAGGAGAAATCATCAATATAATACCCCCATATTGTGGTCTGATACCTCTTTCGAATGGTGGTATTTCATCGGTATACCTCATTTGTCATCCTTTGTCAATTTACAATCGGTTTACTGTTCCACATTTTGTATTTTTCTAAGAAACCCATTCATCTATGGTTCCATTCGACACTTAATCAAGATAATTTTGATTTGAAACCTTGCCAAATTGGTCAGATCACAAAATTGCATACATTCTTTAGATAGTACAACATAATATAATTTCAAAAGGCGAATATTCCTAGCCAATTCATTTTATTAGCTTTATGATATTTGATTACAGGCTGGACAGAAGAGTATAAGAAATCAATCGGCAGTTAGGGGCTTGGAATACCTGGAAAACTACTGCCCTTCCAACTTCTGTGAGGCGTTATCTCCACAAAAGAATTACCAAAGCGTTACTAGAGAGCTGTGTTAGGTGAATTAGATATTGTGTAAAAGTTTCAAAGGCATAAGCAGATAGTGTGAGAAGTGTCATCAAATTTTCTGTTCAAACACTTCATAGGCAAGTAATTTTTTATCGACTTGCTGCATTTAGAAAGCAGAAAAGACCGTGTGATAATACAATAAGTCTATCGCATACAATTTTTTAATCGAGTTATCTACTCAATTTCGGACAAAATTACTGAGAACTTTGTGTGCAGGTTTCCCGAATTTAAGTGGCTAACTGGCGGAAGTGTATGGAAACGGTAATGCAAATTGAGTTACAAGTGGAATTTCATTTCAGTTTGTGTAGAGCTAATGAAATTGTCAAACTGACGTAAGTAAATTTAGCTGTAAAATTTATTAAATTAGAGCACAACAAGTCTACCAATTAGAATTCTCAAATAGCTATTTTTCTTGAATAAATGGGTCTCAAAATTTGGCAAATTTAGAGGACCCAAGTTTAATAAATTAAGAAATTGTTTCGTTTTATACTTACAATTAATATTTACAGTTTAAATATTTGATTTTTTGGTCGTTCAAGTATCAATCGGATATCTATAAATTACTAATAAGTTAATAGTTTAAATTGTAGAATTTTTGTAATTTTACGTTTTTTGTACATTTTAGATAAAAAGAAGAAAAAAATTCAATTTAATTTACTCCCTAATAACGCAGACCCTCAAGAGACTAATCTTACACTTGCAATGGTACGTTTTCAAGTATCCCTTGGAGCGTATTAGAATGCGCAGTTATCATGTGGGCGGTTGAGTACATCCAGTAAACCGAAAGAAAATTATTATCATGTGATGAATTAATTTTTTTGGATCTAGCTGGAGAAATTGTAAACCTTTCATGCACCCCTTAATCATTTGACTATATTGTTAGAGTAAGTGTGAAATAATTGCATTTAGTTGAAGGGAAAATTCAGTTAATTTTACTAACAAATAGTACTATCTGAGCGCATTTTAAGAGAGAGACAGAGAGTGGGAGAGAAAGAGGAAGTAAATCCTCTAATGTTCAAATTTTAACTAATTATTTGTATGAACCTCTTGATGTTGCGGATATCGTGGTCTAGATGGAAGTTTGTCAGGAAATAAGTTGGAGTGAATGCGAGTACACAGCCAATAGGATGAAAGAAAGTTGGGAAGAGGGACTAAGAAGAAGTAGTGAGAGGAAACGACCATCATGCTCTGATGTTCAGTGTTCCCTGTTTCGTATTTATCTAGACAACTGGTTTTCTTATTGATTTGCTCTACTCCCAGACAATTGTGTCGGTACAAATCGGTAAATTACTATTGGCTTCGTCTACTTCCAGCGAGCTTGATGGCAAACAATGCCCTTTTTATAACTGATTTTCATTTGTAAAAAAGTATTTTGTTTGTGCAAAGAGAAAAAACGCACTAGGCGGATGTATTTACCTGAGAATCAATTAAAATCAAATTAAATTATTCTAAAAGACTGTGTTTTGACACGACCCCCATCTTTTGTGGCATAAACTTAAATTTAACCAACTAGGAATAAAGTTAAGCCATTTTAATTTGATTCGAACCCATTGTTACACACTTGGTAATCGAACGATCGTTTTTTATTTCTTTGTATGTTGACATAAATTTAAATTGGATATTCTACTTGCACGTTCGAGGGTGCTTCGGTGTTAGGCTAAATGATGTAATCAAAATTTTGGACTTCAAACTCTTTTCATATACAACTTTAGCTTGGAGGATGGCTTGCCGATAAACAAGCTTAAATCTTTTAACCTCTTTAGAATGACTATCAAAAATCGCAATAAACCTGGATAATTGTAAGGTTGACAGTCGGCCTATTATACACAGAGACAAAGGGATGAAATCTGTAGCATTTAGCAAGATTTTTTGCCATTTCTGTTGTGTCATCATCTAGGTGCTTTATCTAAGTACCTTTAAGCTACCTTTGAGGTGTAGCTAAAGGAGATTTCATTTTGAATTTCTTGCTTTTCGTGGGAGGAGATTACTTAGATTCTTTACCCATTAAATGGTCTATTTATTGGATTTGCTACAGATTCGTATACAAATTGATTAGTGATTAAAAAGCACGTGTTATCGATATGCTTTGTTGTTAGGTATGGAAAGACTGTTTTTGGGGATCGCTTCAACTTGTCACCCCTTCACCCTCTGAGCACTGTTATTTTTAGATGTCATTTTAATCATTCACGTGCTGTTAAGAACAGCAACATAGCATGTCATTTATATTACCTCAAAATATCAATACATTTTGACAAGTGAGGAAGGTATGCCATGAAAATGATTATAAGGAGCTATGGATTAATCTCTACAAACAAATCGAAGGTTGGTGCGGTGGGAATTTACGTGTAATATTAGCTGTATTAAAGATGGTTTGTAAAACCCGGGATCATGAAACCGATACGTTGCCTCCGTTACAATCAATGCTAGCTCACAATCAAACTGAAAGAATGTAAATATAGGCAGAAAAGTTGAATTTTTAAAGTAAAATAGGTGCAAATCGCGCATTTTAAACCTAATACAAATTGATAGCTTCAGATGGAAAATCTTGAAATTCTACCTGGCACAATTTCAAAAAAAACTTGCAATACGTTACGATTTAGACACAGGAAACTTGGCTTTGACTCATCCAAGAAGAGTAGAGCCTAGTCTAAGGGCAATTCAACTTGATTCTACTCACGAAACTTGCATGGCTTGAAGTATTTCGGAACATAATTCTAACAGCGAACTTTCAGTTGAATTCAATTGCTAGTTGTTAATTTATCTTGTCATTGAGAAGCGATTTTGGAGGAGCTCTACCAACTTCTACATCTATTGGCAACCCATTTATACCATCTCGGGCATCTTTATTATTCTATTAAGATTGTAGGGTTAAGCGCCATGTCTTCATAGCACCAGAACTAGGCTTCTTATAGGCCAAGGGCTACAGTGGCTATTGCATTATCGAATTATGTTTTTTTCTTTATTAATGCAAACGTACTGAGAACTGCAAACTACATCCCTCGTGACTCCAGAGAGATGCGTCTTTGTTATGCCACATTTTATTACGCGGAGGCAAGTAGAACTAATTAGAAAGACAAGGCAGACACACTTGACGACAGAAGAGAGTCAGTCATGCTCAAATGAATGTGTTGCAAAGAGCTTTAGTTCCACACGTTGAGAGCGAAGTTGCCACGACTCACATTCTCTCATATCTCATCTTCATATAAGATTAAACATGGGTCAAAACCGAGCGCACTGAAATACTCAGATTTCAATCGTCAGTTTATTTTAAATTTAATTCTAATCCATCTGATTCTTTTGTCCGAAACTACACTACTTAGATGTCGAATAATATTTATTTATTTATTTCAAAGGTTAGGAGTGTTGATAATTATCATTAGCCCTTTAGCTGACTTCGGGCTTCAGAAACATCAAAGTGGGTAAAATTTGAGAGGAGGGACAGAATAGTGATTCACATATGTAAGAGAGACAGACAGATAGACAGACAGACACAGAGGTAGAGAAAAGGTAAGATGTGTATTGTGGAAGGGGTCGAATATGACATACAGAAGAGTCACTGCAGTTAGAAGTCAAAAGTCAACTGCCTGTTAATAGACTTTTGCCGTATGAGTATACGTTGTCCAGGGTGCACCACGTGGAGGTGAGTCTATCGCACACCTCAAATTTCAAATTTTACCATATTGACAATTAATGAGTCTTAACCTCTCTGTTAGCTTAATGGTTGACATACTGGTCTCATGAAGCGTGTCTTCTCTGAGTCCTTTCCAACTGAAACATTGTCGCCTTTTTCATAATTACTGAATTTAATTAAGCTACAAAGCCAATAGTTGAACAAATATTCTTTTGGGCGGTCACTGGTACCTATTAATTTTTTTCTTGACAAAGTTGCCATGCGAGTACATGGCCGCAATGAATGCTCAATACAATCTAATCAGCATAGTTTCAAGATGGCAAGATCGTTTATGAGTCCGTTGAAACACGCAGAGTCACCTTTCATCCCTTTTTTCAGTAAAGCAGTAATTAATGTCGCAAGATTAGGGTTACTACTTTTGGCGAGAGGACTAACACGACATTTGATTGTTTATCATTTAATGTCTTAAGCAATTACTTATGACTGTCAAAAACTGATGCACTAATTCAGGAGTAGATTGATGTTATTCAGTATGTGCAATTTTGTTTCACTTCTCTTCAATATGCATTTTTATTTTGGTTAATTCTCACTTTCCTCATTCCAAATTATTAATAAGTGGAAGAAGATGTTATTTTTTCCAAAATGCAAAAAAGATGTATACATGCCTGACTAAAAAAAGGATTATTCTCAAGTCCGTTTAATGGAACATTTTCAACCACCCCTCAAGCTGGATTGAGGGGCAAAAGTTCCCTTCACAAGAAACTTTCCCACACTCCTTGTTAGACAGGATTAAGAGTCCGCTTATTAGGCTTAAGTGGGGAGAGGCATTGTACAGGTGATCTCAAACTCGCTAACAACTGCCTCAATGGGGCACACGATTTTTTTATTAAATTATCAACCACTTACTTAAATCCATACAACTGCTTGCATAACATGATAAGTTAGGTAAGCATTATTATTCATCCTGAACAAATTTCTCACCTCTAAGTTACCCTCTCTCTTAGTAGTCTGTTTCCCGACAACGCTATATTACCATTATGGGGAGTGCGAGAGACTTACCTCCACGTGGTGCACCCTGAGCAACGCATACTAATACGGCAAAAATGTATATAAACCGACAGTTGAATTCTCACTTCTAACTACCATCACCACACTGCATGTCATATTCAACTCCTTCCACAGTACTCACCTCACCTTTTCTCTACCTTTTCTACCTTCGTAGAAATGATAATGATAACCATCATAACGCCTGCCATTTGATATAAATAAATATTACTATTTTTCAGAAACGCAAATATCTTCGAATATTATGAGGGTTTTATAATCATCTTTGAATTGAGGTTTGATTGTATATTTCTATTGTACATGCATTTAAGTTACCAATTCAACTTCTCTACCTCAAACCTGCATACTAATATGAAAAATTACAACTACAAAACATTATCACATTAAATGAAACATTCACATTCAATCATAGGGTATTAGTTAAGCAAGAGCTATTAAGATTTTAATTTTAAAATGATGAAGGTGTGTATTTTCTGGAATATGGAGCCGTTTCTACAAAATGCAACACGAAATCACACTTTGCAAGATTTATTTTAGAAGCACGTGGGATATAAACGTAAAATTTAAGTAATTTTTTCCTTCCTTGTTTTAATTAAGGCAGTTGCGTTTGGAGCTGATGTCATCAATTTCGGAAGATTGGACGACCTATCGACGCAGAGCAAATTATCTGAATGGATCTCTACTGTCTACACCTCTGAACCCTAATCTACCCCGTCAATCATTTACTTTCACTACTTAAAATCCTTCTACGCTACTTATCGATGTTTCTTAATTCATCTATTAAAGTACAAAGAATAAAAATTTTGTCATAATTTCAGTGAGCCTAAGATAGCCCCATAGAAATTGTTTGAACAAGTTCTAGTTTAATCCATTCAAGCGCAAATGCATTAGTGCATAATTTTACCCCAAAAAGCGTTTATTGAGATTGTGCTCTGATGGAGAACTTTTTATCGCCTTGCAAATTAAAAGTAAGTTAAATTTTGAAGCTGAATTTGAACACAAATGGAATGCTAGCCAATCAGTATTTGAAGTGGGAAATGAGAAATGTTCAAGTCAAGAATCATTCTTTGAACGTCAGGGTCTGGAAACAAGTCATAAGTTGTAAATCTGTGCTAGATCAACCAGAGTCAACTACCTACAGAGACGTTAGATTAGGTTGCAAATAGTTTGAAGATGATGCTTTGAAGCCTTGTTGTGATAATCTAAAATTAGACAGAGAGGGAGAGAGCGCGCAGGATGATACTGTAACGAATTCGGCAATGCGAACTGAAATTCAGACAACACACACCAAAACTAGATCAATTCCAAGCATACTTTTCATTTGCATTGTTTAGGTAAATAACGAAGTACACTTATCGAAAGGAAAAATTTAATCTTACTCAGGTCAAGAATTTATCATGCAGCCTAATGATGCCATAAACTGATCAATATATTTCCTGAAGTTAAATATGGCAATTAAGCATTTCCAAAGGTGCTAGACGATATGGTGGCGATTGGATAAGTTAGTTCTATGAACAGGGGACCACTAAACTGCCATTAACTAGAATCGCATCAGTGCAGCTGGCTGACTCCAGTTGCAAGTATTCCTTTTCTTTAAAAGCACTCGATACTGGTATTTTTACCATAGGGGGGTGTGCGATAGACTTACCTCCACGTAGTGCACCCTGGGCAACGTAAACTCATACGGCAAAAAAGTCTATCAACCGGAAGTTGACTTCAAACTTCAAACTACCATCACCCCACTGTATGCCATATTCGACCCCTTCCACAGTACTCACCTCATTTTTTTCTACCTTTTCTACCTTCGTCTTTAAAACACTCTTCTGTTCTCCCCCCCCCCCTCCTCTCGACTTTTTTCCACTTGGATGTTCCTTCCCCTCTGTGAAGCCTGATGTCAACTAAAGGGCTAATGATAACCATCGAAAACGCCTGCCATTTGATATAAATACATTTTTACCATTGGTAACCTCGTATATCGTCAATTATTTAATATTTTAAGAATCAGAGTTCAACTAAACCTTTTCAGTATTCGCATCTGCTCAAAACATTTCAAAATAAGGCTTTGTTTAAAGGGAAGGTAATTGAGGTAAGCACACAAGAAGTAAAAAATCAGTGGAATTTTCTCCTAAGCATTTAACCTCTTCTTGCCCCCGTCTGAGTGCTTACCTAATCGAGGGGGCAAACATCTTGACTCTGTTTGCTTAATTAGAACGTATAAAGTGGAACGTACTCGGAGTGTTGGCATAGTAAAGTCACTTGACAACGTAAATACAGACTTCAATACTTGAACTCGGGTTATGACACATGAAATTGAAGTGACTTTGAATTTCAAGCTTCGTGAGAAGTAAATAAGGAAGTTGTTCAATATGTGTAGCTTAAAAATGAATGCTATTGGTGTCGCGTCTGCAAAGTCGATATATCTGAATATATTGATTAAGAGATGGGGAACTTGAAAGGGGGCTTCTCTTAGTATTAATTCCAAGATGTTTCTCCTCAACCAAAATTTAATAAAGGGGAGTACTTCTACTCAAAGACCTTGGCGTTGACTTGAAATGCGGTTATGTGCCAATAAACAACTGCTTATATATTTGAAGACCAGATAGGCGTTTAAATCCAAAATTTAAATTTTTAGCCACTAAAATAGTATTTCTACTGCTGAAAGCAAGCAACCGAATCGTATATATGAAACACATCTCTGAGGGGGGGGGGGTACAATTGAAAACAAAAGGTTTATTTTACAAAATAGTTTCGGAAATATCGTTTCTAACTCAATTTTGTAAAATCATCTTCAATAGAACTTGCATAGCTAATTTTGTGCTCTTTTAAGATGTTTAATCTTCAAATCGGTATCCAAGCTCAAGATCAAAAGCCCAGAGGGTATTCTTAGTTCACCTCTTTTCCTGTCAGTAGATTCAGCAGTGCTTTGGAATTTTTTCTCGATCGAGAAACCATGATAAAAGGAGTAAATAATAATACAGAAAAAATGCATATCATAGATCAATATTTACTGAAAAAACTTTACCAAATTATAGGTAGTTAAATGATTTTCCTAAATTCATTAATTGCTTATTTTATAAAGACAGACACACGAGAACATAAATCATTCAAATTTATGAAAATTTTACGGAAATAGCGAACATAAGCAATATAAAATCCCTCCAATAGAAGAGGAGTTGCACAAAAAAATTATTAATACTTACGTTATGAGAAATTTCAGTATTTAAAGAGGCTCAAAGCCTATTTTGAATAAGGAAGTAAATTTAGAAGTTCTCAATGCTCTCTAGGCATAATTCAGCTCATAGTAATTTTTTATTTCACTTTCAAATCTAAAAATGAGAGGGCTGGATTTACTAACTGCCATTTTTAAGACTGAAAAATACGTTCAATAAATCCTATAATATATAACATAACTTTGCTAAATCAATTATATTCAAGGGAGTATTTCGACACCAATCACAATTAAGAATTTGCCTTCCTTAAAGACTGGTATCATTAACTCTCTTGCACTGGAGTATGAGTTAAAAAGACCTTAACGTTTTTTTCAATTACCAAACAACAGATCAATTATTAATTATGCTGCCAGGATACTAAATCCACCGAAGCAGTAATTCCTTTGGACACGCAGCCAGCAATACAGACAATTGGAAACAAAGAACCACCCAAAACAGCCGAGATATGCGAATGTAAAAAAAACTGTATCAGTTACTGAGAGGAAAAAACAAAAGAGTAGTTCTTCAATGGTTCTCTGGACACTGCGGCATTATACGCAATGAGCGCACTGGCTCACTTGCTAAGAAGGGGGCCACAATTTTGCAATCTATAGACCTGCCGATGTTTATTCACACAAAGAAGACCATAATCTGGAGAGAATTCAAGGCTTCAAGAAGCAACGAACTTTAAACTCGAAAAAACTAGAAGCAGTGGACAGTAGGACTCTCCAACATAGCCGCTGGGCCAAGAATTGAAGCTGTTGCCGAATTCAGACTGCGAACCAGACACGATTGCCTGGCAAAATACAGAATAGTAGTATACGCTCAACCAATACTGGAGGAAATGATGAAGAACCACCTGATTCAGTGCTCAGCCCTAAAGGCAACGGTATATATATACATTTCTCCCAATCTGCGAAGACAGAAGGCAACTTGGGGGGATAATGATAAATAAAATAAAGCCTAATTTATCAAATGTTAGTTCAACTTGTAGTGTTTTACAGTACTCAGGAAGTAGAGAGGATGATTACGAAATAATATGAGATAAAAATAGGTGGAAATTTGACCTTTCCTTTGACAAAAATATAGTGCTGTATATATATAACATTTTTTTTTCACATTTGCGTACCCAATATACTATATTATCTACAAAATGAATTAATAATTGGGACTTTATTGCAGAAAAATATGCCTCAAAGAAACAGACGGCATTCAGCAACCTACAAAAAATAAAAAGAACAAGAGGTCTGATGAACGGGGGGATTAGAAAAGGAAGGAGAGAGTGGATGGAAAGAAATGTACAGTTGGCTGATGCGTCAAAAATGCAATTCTTGAAAGAGAGTAAAATGTGATATAGCCAGGTTTGACCTAGTCTATGCGTCACAGGACCATCTATTAGCCAATCGAATACGAATGTCAGGTTAACGCAATCTAGTGAGGCACAAGGGTCAAGATAACGTAAATGTCCTGGAAGTTCTTGTTATTTTATAAATGAAGATTTGGGGTGTGCGATAGACTTACCTCCACGTGGTGCATCCTGGGCAACGTATACTCATACGGCAAAAAGTCTATTATTCGGCAGTTGACATCTGACTTCAAACTACCATGACCCCACTGTATGTTAAATTCGACCACTTCAACAGTACTCATCTTACCTTTTCTCTGCCTATGTGACTATCTTTCACTTTACATCTGTGAATCACTCTCCTTTCCCCCCTCCCCTCCCCTCCACCCCTCTGTGAATTCCGAAGTCAGCTAAAGGGCTAATGATGACTATCAATATGCCTGCCATTCGATATAAATAAAGATTTTTTCATAAGCTGAAACTTCTGAATACTAACTATTTGTTGCTTTATTATTTGGAATGTCAAATTAAAGCACTCTTTCTTCTTCTATTCCTTGTTGTAAGGTGACCTAAACGTACACTTCAGAGTAACAGTATTTGAGGAAAAAGTAATCATTCTAAGAAGACAGCGAACAAAGGAAAGTTACAAGATTTTTTTATAAAATAACCCTTCGAACATCC